GCAGATCTATTTTAAATGCTCTTTGTTTTAGGTTTTCTTTTTTTTTTTTTTTTTTTTTTTTTGTGGGGATGCAGGGTAAAGCGAGAAAAGTCCCTCTAAGAGTGGGATCCACTGCACATGTAACGTCCACGTGTGCAAAAAATTATGTCATATCATCAAAAAGGGTGCCACGTAATACACTTGTGCAGACAATTATGTCAAATTGGATAGATAACATCAAATAATGTCCAAATCAATTTTCAGGTGCCACGTGTTACATTTTTAATGGTTGTTAACAGTTATGTGACAGTCCGTTAAAATATTAGGTTTTTCATGAGTTTGAAAAAATAGAAGGTGCTAATAAGGAGGAAAAATTTTGGAAAGTGTTGACCGCGAAAAAAAAAATAAATAGACGGTATAAATAGGGGCTTTGGACATGATCCTCTAACCAAACAGCCCTAGAGGATATATTGATTTACAGTAATATATATGCAATTGGTGCGTTCAGAGAAGCAAAGAGATGGAGAAAGCAGAGCTGATCTTCATTCCGGTGCCAGTAATCGGCCATCTAGTCTCCACTGTCGAACTTGCAAAGCGCCTACTTCATCACGATGATCGGCTTTCCATCACCCTTCTGTCCATGAAATCACCCTTCGGTTCTTCCATTGATGCATACGCCAAACCCCTAACTGCCTCTGAAACTCGAATCCGGCTTATAGAGCTCCCTCCGGTAACCCCTCCTCCATTTGACCTCCTCCTCAAGTCCGTTGAAGCCTTTTGTTTTTCCTTCATCGAAGCTCATCAAACCCATGTCAAAAAAATTGTCACAGACATTGTCTGTCCTGTCTCGGATTCGTCTCGGGTCGTTGGGTTAGTTCTTGATTTCTTCTGTGCTCCCATGATTGATATTGCAAATGAATTGGACCTTCCTTCCTATTTGTACGTAACAACAAATGCAGGTTTCTTGGGTTTAATGATGTACCTACAAAGTCGACATGGGCAGAACAGTGCTGAGTTTGAAAGTTCGGATCCAGAATTCTTGATTCCGGGTTTTGTCAACCCTGTTCCAGTAGATGTCCTGCCTTCACCTGTCTTTAACAAGTTTGGAGGGTTCACTGCCTACATCAAGGTAGCTGAAAGAATCAAGGACGCTAAAGGGATCATAGTAAATACATTTGAAGAACTTGAGCCACATGCTGTTACTTATTTTAACAATGGCCAAATTCAAGGCCAAAACCCTCCGATCTACCCAGTTGGACCTATGCTTGACCTCAACAGCCAACCTAACCCTGACTTGGATCAAGCTCAACGCGACAAGATCATTAAATGGCTCGATGATCAGCCTCAGTCATCGGTGGTTTTTCTATGTTTTGGGAGCATGGGAAGCACTGAACCAACCCAAGTGAAGGAAATAGCACTTGGACTTGAGCAGAGTGGCTACAGATTCTTGTGGTCTCCCCGCTTGGCACCACCAAATGAGAAAGATGCACTAGAAGACATGTTACCGGAAGGATTCTTGGGGACGATCGGAGAGAAGGGGATGATATGCAGGTGGGCGCCACAAGTGGAGGTTCTAGCTCACAAGGCAATTGGAGGGTTTGTATCTCACTGTGGATGGAACTCGATTCTGGAGAGTTTGTGGTATGGTGTACCTATTGTGACATGGCCTATGTATGCTGAGCAACAACTCAATGCGTTCATGATGGTGAAGGAAATGGGTTTAGCAATGGAGTTGAGATTGGATTACAGGAGCAATAGCAATCTTGTGATGGCAGAGGAAATAGAGAGAGCTCTGCACCATGTCATGGATGGTTGCAGTGAAGTGAGGGCAAAAGTGAAGGAAATGTCAGACATTGCTAAGAAGGCCGTTAAGGATGGTGGGTCTTCCATGCTTTCTATTGGACGTTTGATAGAGGATTTGGTTGGAAAAAAAGTCGATGTTTGATTGTTTTTGAGTTTGATCTTTTACTGTTGTCGAAGAGGAAGCAATAGCAATGCTGGTAGCCATTCATGTTCATTACATTGTATTTGTATGCAGATTTTCTAGCTAGTTGGATTCCTTCATCATCTTTGATTACGGGACTTGTTTTTAATGGTTGTACGTAACAGCTTCTTTCGTGTTCATTCTTTGAACATTGTCATTTTTCCACTACCATAACAAGAACAATATGCTAGCACAGACACCCTGGTGTCCTGTGGATGGCGTGTGGAGGTTGTTATTTTGTTTTACTAACTCAATATTTAGAAATTACTTTAAAATCAAATTAGTTACATATATTTTTTTATTTATAAAATTTAAATTTAAAA